AAACTGTGCCTTTTTCCTTATTTATATCACTTTTCTGTATTCGTGAGAAATATGGATGTCATAATCTATAATAAATGTACTTATTGATCAACATTAGTCTATATAAACTATTTCCAAAATTGATAACCCATAACCTGGCAAAAGGAAAATCTAGAGTAAAGGATCAGAGTTCTTATTTTTCTTTAATCTTACATAATTGAATCAACATATTTTGCTTTTTGCTTTTTTTAATTTCTTTTTTATTTGACAGGCAGAAATTTTCTAGGTTGGTTCATTATCTGCAATTCTCTTCAGTGTGCTTATGTTTGGTAGGAGATCTAAAATTAAACCCAATATTATGTGTTTGCTTGATATCTGGTACAGTCAAGACATCCTCAAATAGCCCACGTGGATTTTCCCCTCCTCACATTGCTCCTGCAGATAAGGCTCCCAAGCCAGTCTCTCTCTCATTCAAGTGGAACCAGGGCAGTTCACTACCGAGTTTCAGTTCCCTGGCAGGTCTTGGGAGTAATCAAACCATCAGATTGTTAATGGGCTTATTAATTGTACCTTTCCTATTTTTTGTGGCATTGTGTTGTTTTTCACTTTTCGTAGCCTGAATATTTTAGCAAGATTTTAGTTTTCTTGAAGGGTAGTAGACAAAGGACTGATGAATCATCTGTATCTCATCTGACCCTACAATGAATGCCTCCTTTTGCTTTTTCACCTTTCACCACCTAGGTGTTGAAAACCTGCTTCTCTCTTCCATCAAGACCTCTTTTTTCGCTCTCAGAAGATAAATCCTTGCAATATCCCTCTTTATTTAACTGTATGTCATGGGCATTCATGCTTCTAACTGCTCAGAATCTTACTCAGCATTTTCAAGCTTAGGGCATTTAGATGTACATTAAGTCCCATCCCTGGTTTCCCTCTCCTGTCTTCCCTACAGCTTTTTACGGTCTTCCCTTGCTTACCAAAAAAGCTAGAGGTCCTGCCAGGGAGAAATCAGAAGTATTAAATTAGATTGTGCAGTAGGATTTGGTGAATTTATTTCCCTTTTCATTCACAGTTATTTAGAAGTTTCAGCATTCTCTGTCTCATGGTCATTCTGAAAAAATTATGTTTTAGTAGCTTCATTTTTCGTTTGCTACACATTTGTGCTATTATCAGAGGACAACTGGTGGCTATCATTACCTTCAGTCTTTGGGCATGTTTTATATCATCTCTAATGTTACGATTCTGTATAATTAATGTGTTCTGTGCTCATAATTAAATACTCCCACATCTTTCTCACTCATTCAGGTAAGGAGAATTCTTGATAGGAAAGATTTTCCAGGGAAGTTGAATTAGAAAAGAAATTTGCAATATCCTCAACAGTTGATTGCTTCAATTTCCTCTGCAAAACTGAAATTTTAATCCTGTCTGACACCACTTGGTGAAAAGGTTAAACAAATTCTAACTAAAAAGAATTCATTTTTACGCATCCATTACTCATACTACTGTCCTGAATATTACTTCATGAAGCACACAGAAAAAATAATATAAGTATGAATCAGTTATTGTCACTGACATCCAGTAGACAATGACATGTTAACTAAAGTGAGCTTGCAATAGAATTGTTTGAAGGGAGTAATTGTTTTCTGACATCAAGAAGTCTGATAATTTTGTCAGATTTCCCATTTTGAGATGCAGTGTTTCTTGGTTGTAGCAGTACTAATTAATAGCTAAATTTCCGGCTGGTGCTGTGGCTCACTGGGCTACTCCTCTGCCTGCATTACAGGCACTCTGGGTTCCAGTCCTGGCTGGGGCACTGGATTCTGTCCTGGTTGCTCCTCTTCCAGTCCAGCTCTCTGCTGTAGCCCAGGAAGGCAGTGGAGGATGGCCCAAGTGCTTGGGCCCTGCACCTGCGTGGTAGACCAGGAAGAAGCACCTGGCTCCTGGCTTCGGATTGGTGCAGTGTGCTGGCCCCAGCGCACCGGCTGTAGCGGCCATTTGGGGGATGAACCAATGGAAGGAAGACCTTTCACTCTGTCTCTCTCTCTCACTGTCTAACTCTGCCTGTCAAAAAATAAAAAATAGTTAAATTTCCTTAGATTCAGATTGTCAATAGAAGGGGCTAAGGTCTCAACATCTTTTTGAATTTTACTATAGAAAATTACTATAACATCAAGAAAATTCATCTGTTAACAAGGTTACAAATATTTAAAATGTGTGTTTCAGCCTTAGTCCATTAGTTCTAGGGCAAAAGTAATTCACCTTGTATTTCCTACTGAAAATGATCTATAAAATGACTTACATGCTTTAAGTTGTGTATCTAACATAATGTGAGGTACAAAATATTTTACACATGTACAAAAATTACACAGAAAGCCTAAACTTCTGTTAACAGGGACCAGTGCTGTGACATATCAGAAAAAGCCACTGCCTGCATCCCATATGGATGCTGATTCAAGTTCAGGCTGCTCCACTTCTGGTCCAACTCTCTATTATTTGTAGGTTGAATATCCCTTATCTGAAATGCTTTGGAATAGAATTGCTCATATTTTGGATTGTTTTCAGATTTTGAAATATTTGCATACACATAATGAAATATCTTAGTGGTAAAATTAAAGTCTGAGCATGAAATTCATTAATGTTTCATGTACATCTTATACACATAGCTTAAAGATAATTTTATACACTATTTTTAATAAATTCTACACTTATGTCAGAATGTTGAAATCCAAAATCTTTTGTACTTTGGAATTCAAAATGAGTAGTGATACTCAACTTGTATTATAAAGAGAATATATTTTCAGGGCTGGTGCAGTGATACAGTGGGTTAACGCCCTGGCCTGAAACCATGGCATCCCATATGGGCGCTGGTTTGAGTCCTGGCTGCTCCACTTCTGATCCAGCTCTCTGCTGTGGCCTGGGAAAGCAAAAGAAGATGGCCCAAGACCTTGGGCCACTGCACCCAAGTGGGAAGACCCAGAGCAAGCTCCTGGCTCCTGGCTCCTGGCTTTGGATCAGCATGGCTCTAGCCATTGCGGCCAATTGGGAATGAGCCATCGGCTGGAAGACCTCTCTCTCTCTCTCTCTCTCTCTCTCTCTCTGCTTCTCTGTGTAACTCTGATTTTCAAGTAAATCTTTAAAAAATAGAATATTTTCACATATTTATTACCAAACTTTTTATAAAATAAGTGACTAAAGTAAACACTTTCATTTCCAAGTATTCACAGGTAGAATTGTGTATTTCCCCTGTCTTGCAGCTTCTTTCATAAATTTTAAGTGTAAAAATAAAGCTTGATTTTATTATTTTGCATACTATGCCTTTAAGCTATAATATCCTTTAGTTTATTTTTGTGTGCCAAGCTGATTATAGTTCTGATGTTCAGAAATATGACAGAATAAAATTTGCTGTTTTAAGCCATCACATTTATAGCAGCCTGTGTGTGTGTGTGTGTGTGTGTGTGTTCCCCTGTCTCCTGACTCTCAAATAAGAAAATTAAATAGAGGAGGCTGTGCTGTGGCATAGCAGGTTAAGCCATCACCTGTAGTGCCTGCATCCCATATGGGCACCAGTTCACATCTTGGCTGCTCTACTTCTGATCCAACTCTCTGCTATGGCCTGGGAAAGCAATAGAAGATGTCTCAAGTCCTTGGGCCCTTGCACCCTCGTGGAAGACCCAGAGCAAGCTCCTGGCTTCTGACTTCAGATCCATGCAGTTCTGGTCATAGTGGCCAATAGAGGAGTGAACCAGCAGATAGAAGACCTTTCTCTTTCTCTTTCTCTTTCTCTCTGCCTTTCCTCCTTTCTCTGTGTAACTATGCCTTTCAAATAAATAAATAAAAATTAAATAGGAAAAAAATCACAAAATAACAAATTTTATGAGAATTTGGACAAAACTTGGATTTTCATGCATTGTTAGAATATAAAATGTTGTAGCCACTGAGGATAATAGTTTCCATGTTTTCAATAAGTTGACTATAGAATTATCATATGGCCCAGCAATTCCACTTGAATTATATATTCAAAGAGAAATGAAAACATGTATTCACACAAAATGTATATATGAATGCTCATAATAGAACCATTCATAGTAACAAAGTAGTCTATCAGCTGATGAATGGATAAATCACACATTGTATATCCATACAAAGGAGTGGTAGTTAGAAAAAGGCATAAGTTACTCCTGTATGATACAACAGAAGATAAATCTTGATGACATTATGCTAAATTTAAAAAGGCAGAGATTAAAGGCCACATAATATAAGCTTCCATTTATATAAAGTACCCAGATTGGATAAATTCACACCAACAGAAAGTAAATTAGTGGTTGCCAGAGAATAGAAGGAGAAATTGGAAGTACCTTCTGATATCTACAAGTTTCTTTTTGGAGTGACAGACATGTTCTAAAATTAGTGAAGATGAGTATCCAACACAACAAATGTGCTAAAAATTGTAAAGTATAAAAATGGGCACATCTTCTTTGGAAATTCCAAGAGTAAAATTTTATTTACAACTTTGTGGTCAGAAATTATACTAAATGCCATCCACCTAAAAAAAGATAAAGGTTATAATTTAAATAATAATGTGCTTTTAAACAAGTTTTATAGAAAGTATTAATTTTGACAAGGAAAATAATCAAAACGACATGATACCTAAAAATACCTTTATGCAAAGATTATATAACTTATTCCATATCTACAAGATTCTTGGGAATTTACAAAAAAAAATCTAGTAGAATGAGTAAGTCTATACAGCAAGGCAATAGTATAAAAGAGAATGTAAAAATAAACGGTATTTCTATTATGTTGAAAACAAATATTTTAGAAATTAAACTAAATTATAGCCTCAGAAAATATAAAATTCTTAGAAAGCAGATTTAGCAAACAATCTACAGGACCATTTATACTAGATTAAAGAGTCTGTGATGATGCAGTAGAGCCTACTTTACTGATTTCTCAGCATTACATTTGGTCACATCACATCAGTAACTAGATGGATCATGGTAGAAGTCGTTTTTTTTTTTTTTTCAATTTCTACTAAGGTTTATTGCTTTAATAGATTTGTAAAAGGTGCTAAAACTCATTTGTCTTCCAGTAGAAAAGGGACAGACACCTGTCCCAGGGCCCAGGCAGACGGTCCCCACCCCCACCCCCCAGGAGGTCACCTGCCTCCACCTTGGCACCTGAGAAGTCAGGGCCCCTGTGGGGACAGCCGGGCAGGGTCATGTGGAGGGAGTGGTCGGCTCAGTGCAGGCTGATGTCAGTTTAGGCTGGAGAGCAGGCCCGGGGGCAGGATTGGGGAGCCGCAGGCACCTCCTGGGCTCACACCCACTGCCGGGGCCCAGGCGGCAGAAGATGGGGGCAGTTCTCAAGTCAGGGTCTGGCCCTAAGCCCTCGCCTCCTGCCCACCTGGACCCCCCGGAGATTGCCAGGCCCCTCCCATCTGGGCTGCCCGACTCAGGTCTGATGGGAGGCAACGGGGAAAGGCGGAGCGGGGATCAGCCAAGAAAGGACACAATGCCCACCGTAAGCTGTCTGGGGCCTGGGTGGGGGGGTCCCCCAGAGAGAAGGTTCTAGAACAGTGCTATGGCTGCCCCTCCCCCGGGCCCCCGGTGACAGATGCATCCCTGAGTGCCTGCAGCTCAAGGGCAGGTGTGCAGACAGGGATGTGGCGGCGGGGGTCAGGCTGTGGGGCCAGCAGGCGGTCCACAGAGCAAGTCCTGGAGGAGCAGGGTGTGGGGGCCGGGGGAAGGGGGCTGCTCCAGGCACGCGGCCAGGCTCTGCTGGCGACCCTGGCTGTGGATTTGAATGGTAGAAGCCTTACAACGTGGAAAATGGAAAATGCTGCAATTGAGAGTTGTATACTCTCAAGAGCACCTTGCAAGCCATTTATTAACATACTGCTCAGAATAAGTTAGCAGAGAGATAAACAATATTCATGGATAAGAGGTTTTAAAAAAAAGATGTCAATCATTGAAAAATTGACCTATAGATCCAAAATGAAATCCGATTCAAACACTCACTCAAATGAAAATTCCAACAGGGTTTTATTAGAAAATGGAAAAGCTAGGTCAGCATTGTGGTGCAGTGGGTTGAGCCATTGCTTGAGACACTGGCATCCCATAAGAACACCAGTTCAACCCTGGCTACTCTGCTTCTGACCCAGTTTCCTGCTAACTCACATAGAAAAGCAGTGGAAGACGGCCCCAATTTTGGGGACTTTGCCGTCCACATCAGAGACCCAGATGGCATTTCAAGCTCCTGCCTCAGCCTGGCCCAGTCCTAGTCTTTGCAGTCATTTGTGGGGTTACCCAGCAAATGGAAGATTGATCTCATTCTCTCTCTCCCTCTTTTTTTGTAGCTTTACTTTTCAAATAAACAAATAAATACTTAAAAAAGAAAATGACAAAGTTGTTCAAAAGTACACACAATACAAAAATATCTAAAATAGTCACAACAAAATTATAAATGAATAATATACACTCACACAAATATGCTACATGGCATATTACATCATAGATTAACCTGACACCAAAAAGCTTGAAAGAAAAATCTAAAGATGTTATCAGGAAAATAGGACAATGAGTAAGTGAAATGGATGACAGTGAGGTCAAGAAACACAGAAGAAACAGTTAGAAGATCCAGCTTAGATCTAGGAAGTGACAGCCATATTACAGAAATAACAACTGAGAATGTTCCAAAGTGGATGAAAACAAAACAACAACAACAAAAAGTGATCAGATGTAGGATTTCAATGTCCTAGGCAGGATAAATAAAGATAAAGTAACTATCAGAAATCGTATGCTGATGCAGGTGACCAAAGGCAAAGTTGCAATTTAGAAACAACCAGAGGAAACTAAAGTTTGACTGATACTTAAGTTTTCACAGAAAAAAAAAATTAGTGGGTGCTGGTATTGTGGCACAGTGAATGGAACAGTCACCTGAGATAGCGGCATCCCATATGAGCATCAGTTCATATCCTGGTTGCTCCACTTCTGATACAGCTCCCTGTTAACACATTTAGGAAGGCAGTAGAAGATGGTCCAAGTACGTTAGCCCCTACCACTCATGTAGGAAACCCAGATGGAGTCCCAGGGTCCTGAGTTCAGTCTAGCCCAGTCCTGGCCATTGTAGCTATCTGGGAAATGAATCAGCAGATGGAATCTCTCCCTGTGTGTGTAACCTTGCCTTTCAAATAAATAAAACAAATCCTTGAAAACAATTACAGTGAAAGCAAGAAATCGTATCTTCAAAAAGCTGAGAGGAGAGAGAATACACAAGCGTACCTCAAAATATTCATGGAAAATGGAATAAACAATTTTATTTTGGTGTAAAAAATGAAATCCATGCAGTTTTTTTCATAATGTGTATTTTCCATTAACCCTTTGAAGACCCCTCACATTGTCACATTGTTTACAGTAATGGTTTTAGATAAAATTTGACAGAGTTTGCCTCTGAAAGCCTCACTGGAGGTGTGGGTTTCAAAAGTGAGCAATAATGAGCAAAAGCCACAATACCCTTTTGGTTAAACAAAAATTAACAGTATCAACTAATAATATATAATTTGTTGGGAAATGAACAAAAACAGTGAGAAATTTAATGAAGTTATAGTACTCTGAAATGCTATTTTGTTCAAGAGTATAAAGACTATAATTAATTCTACATGTTGTTAAACATATACCAAAATTTCTAAAATAAGCACAAGGGAATACAAAATAAAAAAATTACAGAAGAGCAAAACTAATATAATACACTAAAAAAACTGTATAACTTCCAAACTAGTAATGGGAAAATGAGCAAAATTTACAAAATTGTTATAAACTAACCCATGATCATAAACACAAACTAAGTAAATTCCACCAAATTTTAAAATATCAGTCTTGTGCAGACCATTCTATAACCAAAATATAATTATAAATTGGTAATAAAAAGATAATTGAACTAAACGCAGTACTAGAAAAAGAGATACTTCCAAATGGTATCAAGCCACAGAATAAATCATAATGAAAGACAGAAAACACTAAAGAAAAAATAATTAGTAAGATAATACAGACTTTGTCTTTTAGAAATTAACTAAAGCCTAAAGTGTTCATAGGAAAGAGGACTGAAAATAAATGGCCTAAGCAACCAGTTTGAAAAGTCAGAAAAAGAAGTGATTATATCCAAATATAAGAATATGTTGAAAAATAAATATTATTGATCTAAAACACAGTTGTAAATATTATTAAGATGAAGAATTGACTATGATTGATATGGATTGACAGCTGTGATCAATACTCAGTAACCCAAGAAAGTTCTTGGCACATCATCTCTGCTCTATCTCCTCCACCTGCTATGCAAGTCATTTCTTTCTCCTACTTGAGCCAGTGAATTCACTCCCAGAGCGAATGAAGTAAGGAAGGGAGGTGGTGAGAGACAAAAACAAACCCAAGTTAGAGCTCAGCTTGAGATAATTTCTGGTACTCTGTGACTTAAAGAAACACAACTTGCCATTGGGGATTGTGCTGTTTCATTTGCCTTGGAAAACACATGAACTACTCAAAAGACCTTGCACCAGCTCTCACTAGGACATCATGCATAGCCTGTCTTTAGCCAGATTTTCAGCTATGTGCACTCAGCCATTGCTAACTGCTTGAAATATTTATAGTTTTACAGTGGTGTTTTATGATGTATATGCTCCCACAGGCCTTAGTGAGCACCGTGGCTTATGAATGTATTGAATTTCAAAAACAGATTTATGTATTTCCTTTAGCTATGCTTTCCTGGGTGCTTCTTTCTAAACTGACAGATAGAAGACGGTGCCCTGTCTGGAGGGGAACTTGCCCACTAACGAGGCAAGGGAGCAACAGCAAAGCATTTCAGATTTTGCTGGAAATCCATCTTCAGATAAGTATTCTTTTACAACTGAGAAGAGGAACACTAAATGCTTGTTTTTTAATAAAGTGTGCTTATAAAGGAGACACCTGCTAATGCCACCGTAGGAACAGAGATGGTGGTTCACCACTTATGGTCTACATAGAGAAAAAGAATCCAAGGTGTGGAATGTTGTGTAAAATGCAAGTCTGATAATGGCTAACACACTGCTATTTTGTAATATACCCTAGGAGTTTGAACAAACATGGAAATTTAAAAAGATTTCTCAAAAACACTTGGCTGTATCCCTCATATCACCAAAAATCTCATGCACATTTGTGTATACACCTATATATGCGTATGTTTGTGTATTCATGTACGTGAGTGGGTTTCAAACAGTTCATGGGAAAAATGTAATTAAAAGATAACATGCATGGGGGCAATGTGTAGCTTAGTGGTAAAAGCTGCCCCCTGAGAAACCAGCATCCCACGTTAGTACTGGTTTGTGTCCCAGCTGTTCCCTGATCCAGCCCCCTGCTGATGAATCTGAGAAAGAAGTAGAAGATAGAGCAACTGCTTGGGCCCCAACACCCATATGGGAAACCTAGAAGAAGCTCTTGGCTTCTGGCTTTGGCTTGGCCCAGCCTGGCCAATACACCCACATGGGGAGTGAACCAGTGGATGGAATCTCTCTCTCTCTCTTTCTCTTTCTCTCTTCCTCTCCTCTCTTTCTTTATTTCATCCCCTCTCCCTATAACCATGTCTTTCACATAAATAAATCTTTAAAACATACAAAAAGATAGCAGGCATTTCCAAAAACTTTTTGAAGATGCTGCATATTTACATTCATGTTTTTCAAAGTAACAAGGAATAAAATCATCTTTAGCATCCACAACACTTAAAATTTGAAAGCTATATTTTCGTCTAATCTTATATTATTTGAACAGGGAAACAGGTATTTTGTTGTTTGAGTCTTCCTTTAGTCACGCATTTAGTTATTGCATTCTCCAAGGAAAGAATATTCCAGGGGCCGGCACTGTGGTATAACTGGTAAAGCCGCCGCCTGCACTGTTGGCATCCCATAAGGGTGCCGGGTTCGAGTCCCAGCTGCTCTACTTCTGATCTCGTTCTCTGCTATGGCCTGGGAAAGCAGTACAAGATGGCCCCAGTTCTTGGGCTCCTGTACCCAGTGGGAGACCTGGGGGAAGCTCCTGGCTCCTGGCTTTGGATCGGTGCAGCTCCGGCTGTTGCAGCCAATTGGGTAGTGAACCAGTGGATGGAAGAACTCTCTCTCTCTCTCTCTCTCTCTCTCTCTCTCTGCCTCTCCTTTCTCTCTGTGTAACTCTTTCAAATAAATAAATAAATCTTTAAAATAAATGAATATTCCAAAGAACAGAACAGAATTAATATTATTTTGACTGAGGTCTTTGGAAGTATATCTGACTTAGGCTCCTCTACATTCAAATGCAGTAGAATGGCAACAGCATAGTTTTGAAGGGTTTACAACTCAATTTACCATCAAGTAGGAATCTCGGGAATAGATTCATTCTGATAACTCCTTTTTGAAAAAGCCAAAACTATTGTTTTTAGTAGTTTTAGATTTTAACAAAAATTTTAATTAATGGATCAAGTTATATTCATAAGATATTATTGTTCAATTTCTCTCCCTGCCCCCTTAATAAAATACATACATATATTATTTTATATATATATGTATTATGCTCTCAAGTAAATATATATATATATATATATATATATATATATATAAGTATGAATTTGCTCAAAAAAATGAGAGAGGAATAGCCAGTTCATTTGCTTTAACTATATAACAAGCTCAGGAAAATATATTTTGTAGATCTTGCCTAAAGCCTCCAAATGTAATCTTTATTAGGTTTTAGGTACCCATTATTTGCTAGTGATCAAAATTTGCATTTACTTCTT